GGAACGAATGCGAATGGCTAGGAATGGCTGGGAATGGATAGGAATGGCTGGGAATGGATAGGAATGGCTGGGAATGGATGGGAATGGATGAGAATGGTTGGGAATGGATGCGAATGGATGCGAATGGTTGCGAATGGTTGCGAATGGTTGCGAATAGATGCGAATGGATGGGAATGGCCGGGAATAGATGCGAATGGCTGAGAATGTCCGAATGAGATTTTTCCCCCTTGATCTCGTCACTATTTAGTGTAAAAAGAGGAACGGCATTTTCGAAAAAAAGCAGAACGAGAAAGCTATCGAATCACATAGAAAAGAAACAGAAGCTATTGCAAAGTATTTGACTGAAATATCACTTTATCTGAATGTAATACCATACATTACTGCATAAAGAGTGATGGAATATTATTGCTTTATTATTATTTCATGTACAGATCAAAACAACAATCTAACTAAAAAGAAAGTCATAGATTTTTTGATGGTGAAGTTAGAAAGGAATCTTTTCAAATGAGGTCGTCTGATGAACCATCAAATTCGGACCTTCCAATCATCTGCAACAAAAAAATGATATCTTATTGAGCACCAAATTGAGATGATGCAATAACAGAGAGAAACTATCTTAGTAAATGTCAATCATGTCATCGGAAGGAAAGAAGAAAAGATAGAGAAAGCAATCTATTGCATGCATTTCTTGCTCATCACCTTGTGCTCTCTTACTGAGAGCTGCATCATGATTGAAATTCGTCAATATTATCACAATATCAGTTATCAAAACAACATTATATCTTGAAGATAGTTAATGTAACAGTCTTTGTCTTTTTTCTTCGAAAATTCTTGACAATACTTGATATTAGAAATTTGTTCATCGTCGGATTCTTTTCTTCGTTCAATGAATCGGTGTAGAGAAGAAGGTCTATATAGATCCGAGTATCCAAGAGTTCTTTTCTTTCGCTCGTTTGTCTATTGAAGGTGACTCATTAGCGAATAGCTACAAAGACAGAAACTTCTGAATAAAATGGCAATAAGCAAGAGGCTCTTTCAACAATAGTTTCTTTTTCGATTTCTTTATTGTTTTTTTTCAGTAAAAGTGACACACTAGTTTTCTTTTGTTCGATCAATGAAGAAGCGCTTAATTGATTCTCTATTTAAACTACTTTCTTCTTTAACTTTCCGAAAAAGTGACCTTTAGAGAGTGCAGATAAAGAGGATGTCAACACCTACATCTACATCCATTTGAGAGACCTGCATTGAAACGCAACCTTAGTAGCAATTGGCTTCTGATAAAGCTGTAAATGCTCTCTCGACTCAATCTTAGGCGCTATAGAAGCGAAATTAAAATGTTCATAAGTTTTGAAGAAAGCGCTAGGAACTGAAATGCTTTGAGAGCTTTTACTAGAACATTAAACAGTACTTATAGGCAAAAAATCATTGAAATCGCAAGGAAGAAGTGTCTGAAAAGGTTCTCTTGTTAGTGTCAAAGTAACCATCGAGTTTTATGATGCTTCCTTAGAAATGACATTAGTATAATATATTTATTTTATTTTGGTAACTAGGAGACAATTTCTGAAAAACTTTATTGACGGTGTGGGTGTGGATCCAAGTTGACTTGAAAGCAAACTTTACGCCCACACTCACATCCAACTATAATCTTACCATTTCTCATAGGTCAAAAAGCATACTATCGAGAAAAAAGATATGTTCATGAGATCGATTATTTTTGTTGAATAATAAATTTTAAATGATCTGCCATTCCAAATCTCAGTCCACTATGAGATCTTTGTCGATGAAATTTGAGTTCAAAACTAATTAATATTGTATCATTGGGTACTGTTCCATTGAATGAACGAAATAGCATTGCTGTCTTATTTTGTCGATCCAAATGCGTGACTGGACCTATATACATTAAAAATGAAATTTACGTGCAAATACGAAAAAGAAAACAGTTCATAATACTTACCAACAATGGCATATTCAATTTTATTTTTTGTATTTTTAAATCCAATTTTTAATGATGTTGAACTTTGTTCATCCTCAAAACCACCCAAATACGCACTAGCCTGATATCCTGCTTGACGTCTATTAATCAAAACAGATAGTTGTTCAACATTGATTTCTTGTCGAATAACATGTTCGTCCACATTTGATTTTCGATAACCACCAAAGAAAAAACATGACTGCCAATCATCACTATTATTTGACATTCTCATTTTCCAATCATCACTATTCTTGTAGTAGATTAGTGTCACATCACCAACACGTGTTGACCAACTTTGTATGACAGGTGCTATCGAACTAAGATTCGTATGGTAAAAGCATGAACCTTGTTCTGCATCACCATTTTTTATTAGATTCATTCCAAATGGTATAAATGATGTTTTAAATGTCCCATTGGGTAAAAATGAATCTGCTATTCGAGTGATTTTGTTACTTGTAATATTCAAATTTGAACCAATTAAATTGACATGATTGAATTGAAGATTTCCAGAATCCGAAATATCATTAAATTGTGATTGTTGAAGATCAACATATTCAAAAAGAACATTTTTGAAATGGGGTTTTTCAATAATTGCTCCGATCATATTGCAATGTAGGAATTTTCCCTGAAGTAATCGAACTTCGACAAACTTTGACATGTTCATATTCAGATTATTAAGCATAGTTCCAGTCGAAAACTTTATATTAAAAAATTTCACTTGTTCAAAATTTGTTCGATCGAATAGAACACCAGCTGTTATAACTATATTTTGAAAAGTTGATTCACTTAAATCACAATTTGAATAATCGATGTTACTAAATATTAATAATTCTGTTGGTGATGTCGATAACCATGATGATTGTCTTAATTTAGAATTTTTAAATGTCGAATTTTGAAGACTAAATAGAATGAGTCTGGAATTTTCTAAGATTGTCTCTTGAAAATTCGCTCCAGCCAATGAAACACCAATAAAAGTTGAACTATTCAAATCACTAAATTCAAAATTCGCTTGATTTAAAGCCACATTTTCAAATGTCGCATTGCGTAATTGCAGTTTTAATAATCGAATATGATGTAAATCTGTTCTTCGAGAAAATTTTTTCGAACTACCAAATGTCACATGAGATAAATCGACTCCAGACAAATCAATGTATCGCATACCTAACGTCTTATCATACAACAGTTGACTATCGTACAGAAATTTAATTAAAAACCATTTCCGTCGAACATCTAATTGTTCCAAAGCTAATAAAGTTTTAGCTCGAGCATAAAGTATTTCTTGCATGGTGATGTTGCTATTATCTTTGAGAACAATCGATGACATATCTTTCATAAATGTATCATAAATATTTTGCATACGTATTTCTTTCGCATTTAAATCATTATAGTGTTGTTGTTCTTTCATCTTTAAAGCATCCACTTCTCGTTGTCGTTTCTCTGTTTCCTGTTGCAATTGGGCTTGTCGTTCTAGTTTAGTCATATCAGCATCTCGTTGTAATCGAGCAGTACGAGATTCTTGAAGTGTTGTTACAACGGTAAATGCTCCAATCATTAATGGAACGAGAATAGCTGAACTCAGTTGAATTATGTGAATAGTTGATGAACATTTTGATTGTTTTTTGTTGAAATATTCACGCGAAGTCGACTGAAATCGACCTCGGCGATAAATCAGCTTAAACGTTCCGGGCATTTGATGGAATAATCTGTTGTATCGACAAGATTTGATAATGAAGCTAGGAGTGATCCTTTATCTTTACTGTTCTTTATAATAAAGGATAAAGATAAAGGAATGAAAAAAAAATGTATCCTTTATCTTTATTTGATAAAGTAATACTAAAGGACCAGTTCCAAATGAAACTATAAAAATTGAAGGAAATGTCATGTTGCTGTCTGCCGCTAAATAATCACGTCAGTATTCACTTCAATATTAACCTGACAACAAAGTAGACAGAAAAAAGAGTGTATTTGAGCGTAGCATGTGACTAATACAACGTATTATCATGGTAGAAGATGAGCAGTGAATGGGACACTCTCATTCATGAGCGTTGATCTACCTGCTAAATGACTTGAGAATTATGTTTAGCACAGTGGAGGATGATCGTGAGGACGAGTGAAGTGGGCGGGTGAAAGCTGTCTCTTAACCCTCACTCATCCCACTTACCCTATGCGAAAAAACGGCCAAATATTGCAACTTCATGTTTTTTGAGCGTTTTCATGTAAAGAAGGTAAAAATATTTTAAAGCTTTTACAAAAATTTCGAAGTAATCGAGTGCACGCTGAAAATCTGTTAGATTATTCCTGTCGTATATAAAATCCGTGCTTTTTCGACATTTCTGTTTGACTGGATGATAAACAACAATAGAACATTATTTAAGGGTGTGGGTATGGATGTGGGTGTGGGTGCGGGTGTGGGTATGGGTGTGGGTGTGGGTGCGGGTGTGTAGGTGTGGGTGTGTAGGTGTGGGTGTGTAGGTGTGGGTGTGTAGGGCTCTTGTCTTCTTTGACAACCACACACCCACACCCACCCACACCCGTATCGCAGCGTATATGCTCACGACGATATACAATGGTAATACTGAGTCATGTATTATGGTAAAATACGACCATAAACGATCGTATCGAGGTCGTATACGAAGTCCGTAATCATCGACCTGGGTATGTATGTGAGCGTGAGTGTGGGTGTGGATGTGTGTGTGTTGATCAAAAGAAGACGGACATCGACACCTACACACCCACACATCCGTACCCACTAGGGATGCACTGGCTCCGGTTTTAACTAATATCGGTACCGGTTTTGGAATCGAAACCGATGGAACCGCAACCGGAACCGATAACAACCGAAACCGGAGTCGATACGAACCGACAACAACCGATGCTGAAAGAGTGTGGGTGTGGTGTTAGTGTGGGTGGGTGTGAGTGTGGGGTGTAAGTGTGGGTGGGTGGGGTGTGAGTGTGCGTACCTTCTCTTTACTACACCCACACCCCAGCCACACACACACACACACACCCCACACCCCACACCCACACCCTTAACTAGGGGCGCTAAACATAATACTTCCGGTCATGATGTATCCGATAAAAAACGTTCTTCTTTCAGAAAAGGAAACCTATAACAAGAAACAGTCTAAGTTCTTTGGAGCGGTTTCGTAGAATTAGTTATCATCAATCATGATAAACATCTGATGAGGTCCGCCTTTCCATCAGGGTCGACTCATCTTGCCGTGGGCGGTGGTTACTTCTTCTACAAACTGTGCCAAATAAATCATCGAAACTCAACGTTTTTCCTGATTTAGTTTTAACCATTAGAGTTTTATTTCGATTTATATCTGTTTCTTTTATTCGTTTTTGTTTCTGTTTCTCATCATTACAGTTCTGTCCTCAGACGATCTGTTTACTGTTTTCTTTTTATTGAGTTGAAAAAACAGAATGCACTATGAAAAGAATTTCAAAGAATAATTTTGAAAAATAAATAAAAAAGACAACAAAAACGAACCTTTTCTAGAAGGATGGCCGTCACTTGGCGAGAAGGGAGCAACGCTTTTTAGTCTCTAGATAAAAGAATTTGACTATTTTTCAATGTATTTTTTTGCTAAGAGATCAGAAAGCGGCCAACAGTCCTTCGTTTCACGTATTTTGTCTCTAGGTTATGATTTAGTTATTCGAAAAGCCGAATTTCCGGAAAAAAGACAAGATAATTCATTTTTACGTAAGTATTGAGCAGCAGAATCACTCCAAATACATTTAAAAAATACACGATTCGATGTAACTTTCTTTGCTAATCGTGTTCCAACAATTTTTTCTATTATCAAAACGAAATTACAGTGACTAATACTGAAGTATTTTTGAAAAGTCAGAAAAGTTCAAAATCGCTAGGTGGTGAAATTGTTTCAAAAAGTTCGAACTGTTGATCCCCACTTCAATCTTTGTGACTTAGTTCATTTTGTGCAGAATTAAATGCTTTATAAAATTCCGTAATAACATTCATGGTTAGTATTAAAGCGGTCAAAAAAAATTGAACAGGTCCAAAAGATGAAAGACATCATTCGATGTAGGTTTTTATGCTCTTTCGAGTGGGATGTTCCCCGCCTTTATACGATGTAATTTGACTTCATAAAGTGAAAAATACTGAAATTTTGTTTTTTTCTCGCAATTTTGAAGGGTGCTTCAATTGAAATGCCTATAACTCCGTGAAGGAAGGGTATAAAAGAGTAAAACAAATTTCGTCAGCCCAGTTTTTCACGTAGAATCGAATGAAGTAAAAAAAAAGGGGGTGTTAGAAAAAATCATGTTATGACCATTCTCGAGGTGCTCATACATTGTCTCTTAAGTTCGTCAAATATATTAATGTAAATTCGTTTTTATTTTATTTCCTAAGTTTGGGGAAAAATTCTTCCATTAAAATGCAAATTTTTTTAGATTGATTATAGAAAATTATGAAAAAGTATAGACAAATAATTTTATTTCGTCTTTATTTTATTTTTTTTGTAAATTTTCAGATAATTGTAAATAACGATAGATTTAAAAATGTCTGTTAATTTTTAAGTGTAATAAGCAATACTGTACGTTCATTTATTATCATGTTTCTCATCATCGTTGATCAATTTATTATTTTTCTGCTTCACTGTATTTTACTATTCTTAATTTATGTCTTGTTATACTCTCATTCTCTAGGATATAGACAAAGAAATGTTTATTGTTAGAGTAGTTTTTATATAATGAAAGTACGTTTTTATTTTTTTGTATTTTTCATAAGACAAATGAAAAGAATACATAAAGTTATATTTTTATGGCATGTAAACACAGAAAATATTTAAATTTCTTCGCGTATAAAAAAAGATCCTATGTCTGTAATCTTTACGTTAAAATATATGAAACTGATATCAAACTTGTTGTTGTTCTCATATTGATCATTTTTCTTAACCTTTCATTATGTCTTCTGTTTTTTTGGGTAATATTTTAATACGAAATAAAAATTAATGTAGTACAACGGTACTAACCAAAAATATTCTCATCAATATCTAACATAGATCAGCAGAACACACAGAAACTAAATAGTAGTACTCATAAAACATTCAATATTACACAACGAGTATTCGATTGTCGTATTCAAATTCTAGCAGGAGTACTACTGATGAGTACTCAAAATACATGAATACTTTTTGAATATTCGTCTATGAGTTTCTTCACTAGGAGTACTTCAATGTTTCTTTATTTTTTCTTTAGACAGTTTAGAACTATTCAGTCGTTGTTTAACTGAGATAATATATTTTATGAAAACTGTAACGAAATATAGATAGACTATTTCATTACTACATGTCATTTTTGAACAACATTGAGAAACTGAAGGAGTAGTGTTATCGCTATTATCCTCGGTGTATGATGTTCACTACACTATACTTCATCACTCCAGTTCTGATCATTTTATATAGAACACGAGCGCTTATATAGGAGAGAGAAATAATGAATAGAGAAAAATTGTAAGCAACAGATACAATCGGTCATCGAGGTCAGAGTGTCTAGAAGAACAGTGATCAGTTGACCTCATACGATTAAGCGAATAAAGGATGAAGATGAGACGTATCCTTATTATTGGCAAAAAAAACAAAATTTATCTAAAAGTTAAGTATTATTAATGATAGAAAATTCTTCTGTCTTTGTTATGTTGAATTTTATGACTGTTCAGTGAAAATAATAATTTACAATATTATACAATTTGAAAGAATCACATTTAAGTAAAATCGTCTTTCATAAACACTGGTAGAATAAACTCAAAAAAAAAATTAATTTATTGAAAGAAACTATTTAATAAGAATAATAATAAATGAATTAACGTCAGCATATTATTTCTATTTATGCGCATAATACTAAGTTACAAAAATACCGAAATAAATTAGATAAAGAAATTTAGGATATTTCTAAGATTGATGTCTAAAAACCATAAATATGAGTAGTTATAATCATGTTGTTACTATATCATATAATAAATAATACTTATTCTTTCGCCGTAAGAATAAAATTTACATATAATATAAAATACAAAAATAATTTTTATAAATCAAATAGACCTTATTATTGATACAATTAAACGACTCATTATCATATGTTCTTTTTTTTATAATTAATTGATTTTTTTTCTATTATTGTTTCATCGACCACTTTGTTTTTTGCAGTTCTTTTTTTATCTATCTTTTGATAGATCGGTTGAAAAATTCTTTCGCTCATAGAAATATAATTTTAGGAGATATTTTCGAGACAATTAATCAATGTTTTCTTGACAATTGCTAAGTAAGATTACAAAAATGAGGTACATCGGAAATATTCTAGGAAAGAAAAACAGAATTTTTAGGTAAAACGGAAAAGTATCTAAAGAATCTCGGATGTCTTCGGTTTGAATCTAGTTATAAGAGACTATCTCTACGCAGGAGACTAGTGAATACCATTTGATATTTTCTAAATAAATCTACTGATTAAATCGAATTTGACATGAATATAAAGTTTTATTGAAAAAGTTATATCAAAGAATTAGAAAATACTTGTTATATTATGATTGAAATATATTCAAGGATAATTCTTAGATAATTTAGCATCTCAATCAAATATACAATAGTTTATTAGAATTTTCTATATACAATCTATTCTACTGTAAAATATTCTATTAAGAATAAAATCTTACATATTGTTTTTCATTTATTCTAAGTTTCAAAAAAATATTAAATATTCCTGAAGTTTTTTTTCTTAACTTCAGAAAACAAATTTTACATTAAAATCACAAAATATCCTACTATGAATATTCACTAAAAAGTAAAACATCACAGTAAGGAACAACATTTCACCTTGTGATTGGTAGGATAATGAGTCATATTGATTGACGAAGGAAGTAAGATTTATTAAACATGACGTACACATGAGTAATGGGAAGAAAAATATACTTTCTTAAAAAATGTACATCACCATATTTCAAACCAAATATTCATACAACAGATAATTTTTTTTAAGTTATTTTCACAAGATATAGAAATAAGTTTAATGAACTCTCTTCAACTTTTCTCAATAGGTGGAAGGTCATTAGCATTTCATATATAATCTACAAATCAATTTTGTTTCACATTCTGCCAAAAAAAAATATGTGTCCAAAGATAAATAGCATAAAACAATCTTATTATTGTTAACAACAATAGCTACATTGAGCTTCTTATTTTAATACCATAGAAATTTTGATAAGATTTTTCAGATTAAAAATTCAATATTTCAAAAAATTTAAGCAATTATTTTCCCAAGGAAATTAATTTTTTTTTGTGAAAAATAGTTGATGTTCAGTTAGTATCACAAGAAGATGCAGTGAAGCCTTTTCTTTTAATATACATGTAACTCTTCAAAGTCTCACTTATATGTTGTACCTTTGCCTTTTTCTTAAATTTGAACAAAAAAAAAATTTTCGTCTAGAATTCTTTACTTGTTCTTTTATCAGATCATTGCTCTCAATGAAAAATATTGAGATGACTCGGATTCAATTAGAGTAATAAGCAACATTTATTTTGTTTTGCTTTTCTTTACTACTATAAGATATCATTTTTTTTTACCTCTTTTAATATTGTTTCATTAAGATAATCATTAAAAATTTTCAAAAAGTTGATTCGACTCTCAGGCTGTATTTATATGCGTAAGAATCTATCTCAAAATGATATACTTCTATGCTTCATTATTTGGAATAATTTTAACAAAATTTATCGTTTTTTTTTCTTCAATATTCTCCATGTTTTCTGACTTTCAAAAACTGATTTCATTATTGAAGATCATCATTTTCTTTTAGATTACTATATGAATAAGTTATTTAAAAGCATCAAAACGACACTTTGTTGCGTCTGTGTTCAATCCACGGATACACACTCTAGTGCACCGAATGTTACTTGTCATAATATATGGTCTTCTAATGAAACACGAGATGCTCTATGTAATTCTCCATTTATTTTCATTCCTAATGAAATTCTCTTGCAAATATTTCAATTCTTATCGCTAAGAGATCTATGTAATGTTTCATTAGTTTGTCGATTATTTAAAATGATTGCCGATCAAGATGAAATATGGAAAAAAAAGTGCAACAGTAAGTATTGTGTTTATTGTATTGAATCTTCATATTGAAAAATTTTGATTAGTATCAACAAAATTATACTCAAAATCATTCAAACAAATTTATATAGATTGGTTTTATCAAAAATGTTTACATAATAGAGATTTACAAAGCAGAACTACAATCCGCAGAAATGGATGTTTTATAGGTGTATATCCCGGATTTTCTGTACAACCCATAGGCAAACATAAATTTGAACCCATTGGTGGATTTACTCAGCATCCAATTTCGTCGTCTGAAATGTAAGAAAAAAGTTTCTTATTCAACATAGCTATTTTTTTGAAATATCTAATCGATGCACTACCAAAATAGTATTAATATATTTCACATTTCTTATATAAAACATGAAAGTGAATTTTTTTCTTGTCTAATGTGTGAAGTATATTCTTTAACATTATGTTACACTGTGTCATGCTTCGTAGCGATCTGTTCAATGCATATAGAAAAATAGAGGATTTTAAAAGAAACATTTATATAGGATTTTCATAAAAATATAGGAAATATATAGGTCGAGTTTTTTGTGAATAAGAAGGTTTTTTTAGAGGATTGTCTTATATTCCAATGTCTCCACGGTCATTAGTAGTAGTACTCGAAAGTTGTCAACTAAAGTCGAAAAGGAATATATAGATCCATTGCAGTAAAAATTCTAAGTAGTTCGATTCGATAAAGTTTAAAATGAAGAAATACATATTTCATTTATTAACAAAGGCTGAGTAATATCTTTATGAAAACAATATAAATATAAGCGTAACAAAAACGTATGCAAAAAAACACTTGAATTCGTTTAAACTAATTTTTTCGATTCGACTTTCATAGTTATTGATACTTAATAAATTTAAAAGCTGTATACACAATTATGTAAATGACTGATAAGAAAGTCTCTTCCTGTTAAGGTTGATAGTTCAATCAATTGTAGTCTCTTCTGTTTCTTTTTTTGTTGCTGCTTGTCAAAAGCATCTTTTACTTTTCTTTGATTATCAAATAATTCTTCCGTAACATTCAATAGCTCTTCAACAATAATTTTATTTCTATTATTACCACCATCAATTAATATTGTACAGAACTGGAAATATTATTATTCCAGGGAAGTAATGCTATAATCTCAAATAGAAGATATAATGGATTTTATATTGAATGAAAGCTTGTCAAAAAATGGGGTTTATTGATATTAAATAGTGAAGGTTATGAAAAATTCTTAATGTCGAGTTTTAGAAATTTCCAAAAATTTTATAATTATTTTGTGGTATAAAATTAAAGTACTAATACTTTAAAAATGGAATAAAATTTTTACATGGTTCGAGAGAGCTCGTTGAACTCTACAAAACTGTAGCTGTCAAAAAAATTTAAGGTGCTTTTTTTATGAGGAAAAATTCGAAAACCTATATGAAAAATCTTTAAAAATGTTAAAAAAACTGATATTTTTGATATGAAAGAAAAGCAGTAGACTTTTCAAGAAAATTAGCTTTTTTATTATTTTTACTACCTCACAGATTTCAAAATAGACTCATTTAATTCATCGTGAAAAACTACACCAAATAAATATAGTTTGAAACTTCTCAGCTAGTAAAAATGATTAAAGCTAATTTTATTGAAAAATCAGCTGCTTTTCTTTCTTTTCAAAACTGGGAGTTTATTTAACATTTCCCAAGATTTTCCATATAAATTGCCGAATCTTCTATCGTAAGAAGGCATCTTAAAAAATTTCCGACATACACAGTTTTGTAGAGCTCAATGAGCTCTCTCAAACCATGTAACAATGTCCAAGAAAAAATTTTATTCCATTTTTAAAGTGTTAGTACTTTAATTTTGCACCACAAAAAAATTATAAAATTTCTGGAAATTTCAAACCTTAGCATTAAGAATTGTTCTTAACCTTCACTATTTAATATCAATAAACCCCAATTTTGACGAGCTTTCATTTCATATAAAATCTATTCTATCTTCTATTTGAAATTACAATGTGATCCTCCTGGAAGAATATTATTTTCAATCCTGTAGGTCGATTAATATAACGACAATCTTTCTTTTTTAATTGTCACTTGTCAACGTGCACTACCATCCTTAGTTATTAAATCAGCTTACTGTTGTTGTCTTTGTAAATATTGTACGACTTTGTATAAGTCTCACTACAAAGTCTGTTGAATTAGTCGTCTTCAGTAAAAAAATTCAAATAAAAGGAGCTAGTCCTTGTATTGAATATACGGGAGGACAATTGAATATATATATATTGTCACTGGTTTCTAATTCATCTTACAATGGGTGCTATGACAATATGTACAGAAGCGTATATATTCTTTCTGTTTAAGATATCCTTTATCGAATATATAGGAAATATAGGAAAAATAACTGAAAAAGAGGACATTATAGGACAATTTGAAAAGATATAGGAAATATAGGACGACTACGAAGTATGAATTTTCATTCCCTCGACTGTAGGGAGGGTCATACGAAAAAAGAGTTTGTATGTTTGTGTTAGGATCAAAAGAACATCAGGGTCAAAAAAAACATTCATTTAAACTTCTCTTCTATAAAGATTGATGAAAGTAAATCGAAATCGGGGAGTCCGGATCTGAAGTCAGTTTTCGAAATTTTGAATTTGGTTTTTAGGGTCAACGGAAAGGTTTTTTGAGAAAATAACGATATTTTACAAAGGTTGACGAAAGTAAAACGGAGTCGGACGTGAAAATGTGAAGTTCTATTGTTATACGCCTCTGAACAATTAAATATGATATATCGTTCAGTCGAGGGCTAAGCGAGTCGAAGCGACGAGCGTTACTTGTGTGTTTAGCAACAGTAGATAAATCATATGCACTAAATTTAAATGTGTTGCGTTTATGTATCGTGAATTGTTATGTCGCACACTTCAGCAGAAAAATGTGTCGTATACGAAGTTGTCGCGTTCTGTCTGCTAACTGTTCGTTCATCATTTTATTATGCACATAGTGATATATAAACAACGTGGTTAAACAGAAAAAAAAATTTAAATTGTTCTTATTTTTAGATTATTTCTCAATAACTATTTTTATCGAGAAAATGCCAATCTTGATCCGTGATCCAGAGAGGACTACACTGAAGCGATTTGACGCAAATCGAATCAACTCAAGATTGAACAGATCCCAGAATCCAACCAACTTGAGTTTTCAGAATAGCAGTAATTAAATGTAATTAATGTCAAAAAAAACAAACACCGAAATATGATTTTCCAAAAGAAACAATAGAAAATGTGTCGCAGTGAGCTCCTCATGTCGTGCTTTAATGTGTCACAAAACACGACACATGCAACACATTTTATTTTAGTGTGTATTTTGCATTTTAATCGCTAACGATCTTTTAACTTATTAAGGCCGCCCCTTCCAAAATCGATTTTCATTATAGTACATGGAAATTTCATGAAATTTTCTACCAATGTTTGACTCATAGTTGTACATATATAAAAAAATTTTCAGGGCTCTAAACATTACCGTTCGAAAGATTTCGAGCAAGCAAGGGGTAAAATAGGGCGTCCACGGGAACATGAAATTTTTCAATACACTTCAAGTTACAGCGCTCGGGGTGGTCTCATTCGAAAGAGAACTTCTTGCTGCTTCGGATGAAGGGAAGGATTTTTTTAATTTTAATTTTATTTCATTTTTGCAACTCTCGAAACCTTGAAGTTCCAAAACCCGTAGCCAAGATTTTCTAGAAAACTTTTGGTTTTTTCAATATTAAGGGTCAAATACAAATTGCATTTACCTCATCCGAAAGAGGATTCATCAATCCATCGAATAAAAGAAATTGCAGCTTGATGGAACAAACTATGGTGAAAAAAAATTTGTTCGGAGTTTCTCAGTTTTGCCAAAAAAACCGTTTTGAGAAAAACGCACAAATATTTTTTTCTGTGAATATTTTGTTGAAATCATCTTCATACCTTAGAAAAAAACGTAGTTATATTGTATATCAATTAAGAGCTCATCAGATGTCTCATCGAGTAAACGTACGACAGTACGCCGTGTCATTGTTTGTCATTATAGATGATAAAAACAAGTGGACCTATAAGTTCTCTATAGTCTTAGACACTATGTTTTTTGCTAGAGAGCTTTAGAAGTTCGTCGATTATTCTTAAGAAACCTTTCGAAATTGGAAGTGACTTTCATGAATTTTAAAACTAGACACCTTAGAGGTAACAACCATATGTTTATCTCGAAAACCAAATTTTTTAAAAAAAATTGATTTTTGGAGAGGAAGGCGGCCTTAAAAAGACTTTTGATGTTATAATTCATTGAGTTGAGTTAATCGACATGTTAATAATAATCATGTATCTATATGGTAAAACAGAAAGAAAATGTTCTAATAATTGAATGATAATCTTTCATTTTCTTTGTAGGACGATTCAACTATCATTTAATATTGAAGATACAGCTTGTGAACTTATAAAGCTTCTAGAAAAAGCATCTAAATTTCGAAAAGAATGGCAACAATCATCTATTTTAAAACAAATGATAATGAGATATTATCGTTTTATGCAATTAAAAGCATCTCATTCAGATAATCTTCTATTAATTCCTACTTTAGATATTGAAATTGTTTGGCAAACTCATTTACTTCGATCTGAAATATATAACGCTGATTGTATTCGTTTATTTCATCGAGTTATTAATCATAAATTATTGAATAATGATATGGAAGAATTTTTAAAAGAACAAGCATTTCAAGATACTTGTCAATTATATGAACAAACATTTGACGAGAAATATTGTCCATTATTATCAACTGATAGAATGAATCATGTTGCATCGAATATTTTTGATTATAGTTCTGATTTATATGGTCATAAAAAAACATATTACTCTTACTGGGATAAAACTTATTTCGAGTATTCATTAAAATCAACTAAAGATTTTGAAAATCCTTTTTCATTTACAGAAGATGATATCAATTCAGATATGAATTGGCTTGATGAATGTAAGAATTTTATGGCAGATTTACAAAAAAAGCTTTCTAATTCAAATTATTATTCATATGGACTGACAAAAATCAATCTTGAAACAACAGCAATGAATGGATTTACAAAGTCGTATGAAAAATTTTTGTATATGGCAGCTAAATATCCACTCAAAGATGGAAACAGCTTTATTCCTCCAACATATGCGGTAAAATATTTCTTTTTTTTTAAAGAGAAACTAATGATTTCATTCGATCTATGCTCTATTTCTAGATTGACATAATATGGCGTGCACATATGCAAGAACCATTGAATTATACCGCTGATTGTCTTCGTCTTGTTGGTTATGTTATTTCACATGATCCATGGCCTATAGTTAAAGATAATAATATGAAGAATTCATATGATAGAATAGATCAGATCTGGAAACAAGAATTTGGTAGTGATAAAGCAACAGATCATCTCTATGATACGTATATAAGGATTTTGTAACGTGTTCGAAATCACGTTTTTTTTTCTGAATATCAAAGAATCGATATTCCTTTTTCAAAATTATTTGTATATTTTATTAAATAAAAATTATATTAATAAAAATTTCTCAATAGATATAAGTTAATCATCGATTTCATCATATTCCTCGTAGATGGTTCCTTCTAGTTCAGTTGGTATCGTATTCGATACACTTATTCAATCATAAAATTTAATCGAAAAAAAAACCTAAATGATTAGTTATTCAATGATCAATATAAGTTGAAAAAGAATTTCCATACTTGAGTATGATTAACAATGTGAAAATCTTCGAGACTATATTTTTTATAACAAATATTAACATTATTTCAGATTGACATTTTTCTCTGCATATAGAATATCAATATAATTCAATTAATTCTCTTTCTATTGTTCACTGAATATAAATATATTCATGTTGTTAAAGTCAATAAAGAATTATTGAAAATGATTTATCAAATATAAAAGACTTACTAACAAATAATATGAAATTACTTGCACTTGATTTTTACACGAAAGACATGAATTCAAATCGAGAAACACAATTATATTTCACTTTTGATTGGGTGTGGG